ACTTTGACTGCTTGGCCACAAAGAGCTTCACAATCAACTAAGATTCAGTTTTTATCTGAAATGTAAACAAAGCAATTGCTAAAAAATTCATTTTTTTAATCCAATATATTTTATTACTTTAAACGTTATTTTTTGTGAATACCCATATTTGAGTAGATGCTCTGTATTAAGCAATATTTATTTTGTCTACCAGTCTACATACTTCAGAAAAAATTAGAGAAAAATGTGCCCTCTAGAGGGATTCAAACCTGCATCACCCTTTGCAGCAGAAACCACTCTCTCATCTGGCATGCTTTGACTGTTTGGCTACAACTGATTTTCATAATCAAGCAAGATTCCATCTTCTTTTAAAGGACATTCACTTGTTCAGATTTAAAAAAAAAATAACAATTGAAGTAATAAAATATGTGAGATTAAAAAATAACAGCCATTAACTATTTATAAAATACACATTTTTATATATATATATATATATATATATATATATATATATATATATATATATATATATATAGGTTGGTTGGATTGATTTAAGTTTGTGACTCAGGGTCACAAACTCACATCAATCCAACTAAATATGTTAGCTCTATCACTGATATTGAGAGCTTTCCAATAAGTACTGCATTTATAATATATAAATAATATGCTAATGGTCTGTGCTCGATTCTTGGTAGTGGATACGCACTGCTGATGAGTCCCAAAATAGGACAAAATGGCCATCCAGTGCTTTTTGCATTCTGTTGAGGATTTTTCTAGACTTGATGAATTACTTAATTTTGAATATATGTATGTATGTATGCATATGGACATGTGGCTAAGTGGTTAGAATGTTTGCTTTCTGACCATTTTGCTCAGGTTCAAATTTCACCATGGTCAATTTGTCAAGATGGTGACTTGTTGATATTGGTCGAGGAGAAGTAACCCCAGCATGCAGCACCTTTGAAAAGTGCTGGAAAACCATAAAATGGGTTGACCCAATGGGTTTGAGTGTGCTGGGCTTGTTCAGACTGTTGATCAAGATAGATAACATGCTCTCTCCCAGAAACTGTAACTAAGGTCTGCTCAGAAATGTTGCAGTATAAACCAAAGGTGGGCTGTGTGGGTGTTGAACAAACACAAATGTGTCTGAACAGGCATCTGAAACAGATATTAGCTAGCCACCCTAGTAGATAGGCATCCTCGGATATGAATAGCCAGCCATTTTTATATGTATGTATGTATATATATATATATATATATATATATATATATATATATATATATATATATATATGTATGTATATGAAGAAAAATATACTGAAAAAACAAACAAAAATCCTAATATGCAATTATGCTGTTTTAATGTTTAATGTCAACGTCGGACGTTTCGGTCTAATAGACCATCTTCAGGACAGATTCATAAAATATTTTGTTTGTTTTTTCAGTATATTTTTCTTCATACTGTCGGATCTATATCCATATATGCTTATATATATATATATATATATATATATATATATATATTTTGTATATATCTATGTACATATGTATTAATATATGCATATTTATATGTATATATATATATATATATATATATATATATATATATATATATATATATATATATATGTTTACATATTGTTTATATTATTTAAATTTTCTTATATTTATATAAGAAGGATGTTCATGATCTGTGTGGAGATAGGATGCATGGCAACTGTTAGTTTTATACTTCAATATGATCTTCAGATATAATATCTACATTTGGGGATAGCATTATTCATCCCCGCTGTATACTTTCTAAGGAAATGCAAATATTTTTAAGTACTTACTGAATATGCTCTACATAGTTTATTCTGTATTTAGTTTTGAATAATTCATTAATATTGTAGAAGTTTCAATCAATTAAAGTCATAGTTATAGATTTTCTAAAAATTCGTGGTCCAAAATTATTTTTTCCTCCTAATGGAAATTATGAAATAATCACTCTTTGAAAATTAAATAGTATTGACCTAATTCTATAATATTCTAGAAGGTTCATTCTGCAACCATTCTGCATTTGACAAGAAGCTCTGAATGAGGATATTTGATGTCTACAAGCAAGGTGATGGATATAGAGCACATTCCAAGCATTTTAATGTTCCAAGATTAACAATTCAGATCATTATCAAGAAGTAAAAGATGTATTGTGTTGAGAATAAGTTAAAGGCTGGCAGAAAACAGTTCATTTCTGAGAGAATGGACAGGAAAAGAAATATCTCAAAGAATCCTTACTTAATGGCAAAGGACATTGTCAATTACCATGTGTAACAGCAAAATTGCCCAAATCATGTAACAGCATGAGATAAGTGTCCATCACACAAAATGTTTAATATCTCAAAACCACTAAATTAATTGAGTTTCATTTTTCCAGATTTTTAGATAAGATATTTAGCCATGCTGACACCATTTGTCATAAGAATCACTGAAAAATCCTTTGAGTTATTCAGTTAGAAAAAGAACGGCAGGTTAAAATAGTTTTGAGTCAGACCCACTATATCTTCCAAACTGAGCAATGGTGAGAGGAAAAAATCATTAAGGCCTTCAGTAATATACCAATATTTATACTCTGGCTTCCATCCATTCAAGAACCATCAAGATAATGGTGAATATGTTTAAAAAAGAGGGAATAGTAGAGAGGAAAATTGGATCAGGAGGTCCCAAAAGCAAGAGGGATCATCATTTCAACTTAAAGTTAAATATATTCTTATTGTTTAAATTAGAGTCCTATAATGTTATAAAACCTTGGAGAATTCCAGTAAGATATATTTAATCATTTCTAAGATACAATGGTTCAAAGCTTAATCTAGCAATTGGACATTTTTGCTGTTACACTATTTGGACAATTTTGCTGTTACACAGACAGCAGTAGATGCTTTTATCAAGCAAGGCTTCAAGCTTTTGTCACCTAAGAAAAACTCTGTTGCTTTAAGTTAAACACCTAGAAAGCAGATTAGCTTATGCTAGAAGCCATGAAGAATATTGGAGTGAATATTGGAAGTCTGTTTAATGGTCAGATGATGCCCTCCCTACAATGAAGTCTGGCCATGGGAGCATTAGGCTTTGGGGATATTTCACTGTTTCTAGACCAGAAGAACTAGTGAGAATAAAAGGTATCATGGATAAAGAGCAATATTTTGGCATTCTTAAAAATAATATAAACAAAGTGGCATTACTGGACATTTCAACATGATAATGACCCAAAACACATGGCATGAATTATTACAAAATACTTAGATTACAGCAAAATTAAGGTATTGATATAACCCCACAAAAAAGTTCAGACCTAAACCCCAGTGGAAATTTATTGGCATATTTGAAGAAAAAGTAGGAGGGGAAAGTCCTTCAAATTAGCATGAACAAGAAGCTATTGGCAAAAAGGAGCATATTACCTGTCATTGTATGTAGTGATCTTTTAAGGAACTATAAAAAATGATTAAAGGCAATAATAAACAGTAAAGGTTATACAATTGATTATTGAAGAACGAGAACTAATAATTTGTTCCTATGTTAAATGTTTCATTGATGATTTTGGTATTATTGTTTGACATTAAAATAAAATTTTGTTTTGGGAATAACTGCATATTCTTTCAAATCCATTATTTCATTACTTGTTAAAAAATGCATATGACATTTCCATGAATATTTGAGGGATTACAGATTTTTTCATAATTATGGGAGAGTGGTGAACAATTCTGACACTAACTGTATATATATATATATATATATATATATATATATATATATATATATATACATTAGAATGGCATATGAAAAAAAAAATGAAACAGAAGATGCAATTTTCATTGCTACATGAAGAAGAAATAACAAATCATGGAATTTAAGAACATTAATAATCTAATAAATAAGAGTTAATGAAATTATTTCAAACTTTTAAAACCTGAGAATAATAGATCTTAGGAATTTATTAAAAACAGCTACCCAGTTTGAATAATTCCTATGAAGCATGAAACAGCACTGTTAATAGGTAAACAAAACAAAATGTTATTTTTCATTTATATTAAAAACTTTTATGTCAAGAATTAAAAATAGAGTAGTTTTATGTACATACAAAAAAGAATATATATTTGTAGAGACAGAAATATGTAATTAATAAAGCCTACTGAAATTAACTAATTTATAACTATATTATATAGAGGTGACAATATGTTTATGCAACTGAACATAGTTTCCTCTTAAGATGTATTTGTAATATACAGTATAAAAGAAATGGTCTATATTATGATTACCATTATCAGATTTTCTTAATATTTTCTTAAAAAAATATTTTACTTTTTATCTCTGGTCTTTGGAAGACAAAGTTACAATTGTGAAAAGTTTTAAAGGTGTTTTCACAATCCAAGCTTAGCTATAAAGAGCATATTTATCTTTCTTGAATGAATATGTAGCCATCCATCTTAATCATTTTAGGAAGTGCTGACGTCATTTTGGGGCCTACTCAGGGATGACACTCATGCATAAGTGGCTCCAATAGAGGCACTTTCCAACAGATGTTTCCTCCCACATGGTAACTCTTGTAAGTTAAATTGCTTGTTGTGATCAGCTTGAAGATGAGAGAATCATAAAGATGAAAGAGGGGAGAAGGCAATATTGAAAGAAAGATGTACAGTGTCGTATTATTAAAAAGGAAGAATATTCAAATGAATCATGCTTAAAAAAGCTATATAAAGATGTTAGCAAGATGTAAGCAGAGGATGAAGGAAACTCCAGAAAAAAAAATTAAAGTTTGTTGCTGTGAATATGAAGTAAATACGGACAAGCAAAAATAATCATGCGATGTACGCGTACATTGAACAGATGGAAGAAATGAAGAAATCAAATATAAAGAAGAAGAATGAAAGTCGTAAAGAGAAAAGAAAATGATAATAATAGGTAAAAAGAACTGAATCTAAGAGAAAGGTTCTGTGCGCGTGAATCCAAGAGTTACCTTCCCTGTATCAACTCTCGAGTTGCCGACCAACATGGCGGCGGGGGAGATAGATGACGACGTAAGCTTTCCTTATATTAACTTTGAACTCGCTTATCAGTTGATATTTATCGCCAGAAACATTTTGCAATGATCTCGCTAACACGAAAATGTCGTTTTTATCCGCAGGAGCCGGCCGCGCCGGACCAGGTGTCGTCTGTAAAGCAAATATTCCTGGATAAATATCGAGGTATTTAATTTTTTTTCTTTTGGTGTGGTATTGTGTAGCAGACTTGAAGCAGCAGTTGAGTAGTGAAAGATTGGGCGTAAAAATCTGAGGATTTTTAAAATTCTATAAATTTACAACAGGTTGGCATATTAACGCTATTCAAAAGCACTGCTCTCTCATTTATATTTTGATATTAATATATTATTGCGAATAATTTTCACCACAAATGATTTTAATTTAAGTTACATCACATAGCTCAGCAGGTGCGTTTTGTTTGTTTGTTTGTTGTTTGTGTTATGTACTCGACAACAGTCGTGTTATGATTTTTTGGAGTTTTCTCTTCTTCACTTAGAATTTAATTCTTAAACAACAATTGCCTTTTTATTATTTTTAATCACAAACTGTTACTATCATTTATTTATTTTTAAGTGGTTATTTCTTTTGTCCAACTTCTTATTTTTGGCACGAAAACTGTTTAGAAAACAAAATACCCGGCTTGCTTATTCTCAAACAAACGCTAATGAACTTAATTGTTAATTCAAATTCCGAAAGGAACTCCGTATTTATATGAATATTGTATTTTTAAGTTCTTTTTCATTCAATGAACATTTCTTAAAAAAAACGAGACATCTCCTCATGACAATTTTTTTTTTTTTTTTGACTTTTGTGGCACAAATCATTTTTGTTACCTATTTTAGAATTAAAAAATCTATTTGCGATTTGATAGATTATTTATTTTTTAGTTTAAGTGCTGTGTTTTGGTTTACAAGATAAAGAATAACAAAAGTTTGTGTTTATCCTCAGTAAATTATTCACTTGTCTGTCGACTTCGGGAAACTACTGTCATAAAAAAAGATACAAAGAAATTTTTTTGTAACAAAATAATAATTTATTGATCTTTTTTATTTTCTTGAGGTCAACTTATGATTGTCATTATTTCCAAGAATATTGTTTTTTTTAGTTATATTTATGAAATTTATCCTTCACGATTAAAAAAAATCTTTTCTTTTTCGTTGTAAAAAAAACAGTTTTACTTTTCTTTTTTTTTTTTTTAACTAAGTGAAGTCCTTAAAAAAAGTCAGTGGTAATATTTGTAATTTTTCTTTTTTTTTTTTAATTATGAAATAAACGTAAAGATGACGTTTCGATTATTTGCGTAGGATATAGTCAGACTCGACGAACTGTTTTTTTTTTTTTTTTTTTTGTTTATCGTTGTCATCGATCGAATAGAGAATACAAATCTTGTTTTCACTAAGGCGACAAAATCATGACACTTGTTCCTTAGAGAATTTTTTTGTATAAAAAGGATTTATATTGTTTAGCTCTATATAGTGTTTATATTCAATTCATGTATGCGAGAAGATTCTTACACTGAATCAATTTAGTTTTTTAGTGATGTTTGTAGAGATGTTTTGAGTACCGCCCATTTTTGCATGTCATTTCTTCTCGGGTACAACACGGCTTTCATTTCCATAATCTTCATAATACAAACAATAGAGTGTATATTTTTAGCACACATGAAGTCTGAATTTCATCATCACTTTTTTTTTTTTTTTTTAATGGTTTAATTTGATTAGTTCGATAACTTTGGGGTAGTATCTTTCCTTTATAGAGAGAGAGATATCTTGTGTGAGATGCTCATAATGATGTGGAATAACGAAACCTCTCTTTTTCTCCTATTCTAGACAGCGAAAATATATTTTTTTTTTTACATAATTCATTAATAAATAAATGAATTTTTAAGCGACATGGCAATATAATGGGATGTTGACGCATCCTTGAATTTAAAATTCGATTACAGTACAGTAAGTATTTTTTTAATATTCTTTCTTTAGTAACAGTGCGGAACAATAACTTCATAATTTAAACTTTAAATTATGAAGTTATTGCTTTTTTTATTTTGCTAGAAAAGTCTTGAGGCTTTGTTGAAGGTATTTCTAATTTAATCTATAAGTTCAGATTTTGTATTTTTTTTAGACTGGTGGACTTGTAGATGTCTAAGCTCCTTTTTAAGGACATTATTACTCTCGGCTACGCCGCCGAACATAACTTTTTCAAGTTAAAATTGCACTCAGTTGCTCACACACATAGGGTTTCCTTTTTAATTTCATGTTATGTGCTTGATTTCACTTTATTTTTCATAACTATTCCCTACCAATAACTTTGACAAAAGGTAAAAAAAACAAAAAAAAAAACATACAAAATCCCCGAAAAGCCGAATAATAATCTTAAAAAAACTAGTAAGTAATTAAAAAATCTTCTCGTATTTGTAATCCTTGAAAAAAAAAAAAATAGAAAATATATACATTTTTTTTTTTTAGCCCGGTAAGGACTTTGGAAAACTTTCCAGATGTTTTATATAAGAACTGACATTGACAGCAATAATGTCGTACGAAATTGGAATTCCTTGCATTTCGAGTTATTTTCTGAAAATTCGTTGTAACCACCACCTGCACATAACAACCCTGATGTGATCTCAGGCGTAAAAATTTAAGGATGTGATAAAATATAAAATCGATCTGTACCGTAGAATAATTAAGAATTAAGGCATTTAGCTTGGGGTTTTAAAAAAAAAAATGTAAAAACATTTATTAATTTAAGGCTTTGTTTTTTTTTTGTTTTTTTTTTTTTGTATAACAATAACATTAATGTCAAGTTCTCAAAGGAAAAAAATCAACAACAGTTTGATCCAATTTTTTTTTATTACCAGTTGCATAACTCAACTGTTTTATCTTTAAGATTTTGGTACAAAAAAATTGGTTTATATTTGAGAAAGTTTATTTTTCTATCCCGTCAAGCTTACTACAAATATTTACTACTTTTTCAACTTCAAGATTATTGACTTTTTTAGATGCCTAAATTCCGAAGTCATGCGAAGTCAATTTGAGATTCATGTCATATTTCATTAGACATCAACTTTTTGATTTGCATCTAATAACGAATTTGTTTATAAAAACCTTTTGATACAAATTTTTTTCTTTGTTGTTTCCTATGTATATAGAAAAAAATGGATATTGCTAATAAACATTTACTTAAAAAAAATAAAATCATTTATAGCTTTATTTAGCATAGTACCCATAAAATGATTAATTTGTGTATGGATTGGCGTTTCTGTCTCGTATCAGAATACCTGGCTCTTCTGCCTAGGAATAGTGCAGTATGTATGCACTCTGTGAAAAGTATTGCTTATAGAATTGCAATGTGTACAGATACAACAATCTGATCCTAAGCAGAAGTAATGATCTGTGAGTTGTTCCATCTGAAATTAACCAACAGCCACAGTTTGACACTCACAGAACAATCTGGAAAAATTCACAGGTGTTGCTTGATCAAAATTATTGATAAGTCCCAAAATATTACATCTGTATCTTTTAATATTTTTGCATCTTGGTAAATAAGGCTTTTATTGAACTTGTAACATTCATAGCTCTAAGGATACATATATGTACAGATTTAAAACTTGGTGACAATAGTTAATATTTACTGTAAACTACAAAAAATGAAAACAAAACAGCTTAGGTGTGTCTTATGTATTTTTATTTTCATAAGGACTAAAAATGGTCAAATTACAGTAAGACATCTACTTTGAGAGCTTCTCATTTACAAAGTATGCCAGATAGAGCATTCAAATTATTTTCCTGATATTTATGACTTAACAGATTATTTCTATTGAGTAACCATAATTATTCCTGTTATAGGAATGTCATGATTACTGTTGAAAATTCTTCTCTCTCTCTCTTTTTTTAAAGCATCCAGAAAATTGCCTCTTTTTATGACATTGGCAGACCAGTTAGGTATTTTAAGAAAATTATATTTTTACCATATATTCTTACATGTCTGAGATCATGTGACATGTTTCATTTGTGGATGCAGAGTTAAAACATTTTTCTAGAACAAATTGTCATACTGAAATCATGGTTTTGCTGATTTTTGACACTATATAAATATGAAACAAAGTTGGTACCTCTATAATTTTTCATGCATAGAAACTATTTCTGACTTCATTTTACTTTGTTCCAAATAGTGAAGATGCTCTGGACCCATAAAAACGTTTCAAAGAAACTAAACCAAAGACATTAAAATAAGGATTCTACTAGATTATTTTAACTTTAAATATGTAATGTCAAGATAGTGAAAATGCATCACAATTTGTTCATATTAAACAATTTTATCAGTACTCAAAAATATACAATAATCAAGAACATTAATAAGGCAAAAATCACATTAAGGATATTTTTTAATATGTAGAGAAAGATAAACACTTTTTTATTGTTTATATTATTATTCTGCTTGTTTGTAATTGAATTACCCCTTTTTAATTATATTTTTTTTTTTATCAAGGATCAGTGTAGTTTCTACTTGATCACTGGTCTGTTTGAGCTGGAATCAGTTACATTTTCTCTAACACACCAAAATAACAATGTTACATGGGCTTGAATCGTGGAAAAGTGATGGAGAGAAGATGAAATGGGTGTTAAGAAAGAAAGGTTAGAAGTTAGAAAGTTAATGAAAAAAAGAACACAAGATTAAATTAAGTGTGTGCATGCATATATATATATATATATATATATAAAATAGAGGGAGAGAGAAATGTGATATCTGTTAATGAATTGAATAGATTTATCTTATCCCTGATATGCTGATCTAACTTCTGTGAAAGTCTGAGTTTGGAGAAAAGTCATTTGGCTTTTTTTTTTTTTATTTATTCACTATATATATATATATATATATATATATATATATATATATATATATATATATATATATATATATATATATAACAAAAATGTATATGAATTACATAAAATGAAACTCTATTACCAGGTTCAGATGGCCATTTCACCCCTGGGATATTCTCCCCGGGGCCTGTCAATGCAAAAACGTTTGTTAAAAAAATGAATTTTAACGTTTATTTTTTAAAATAAGAATTAAAGAAGTTAGGAAGGAAAGAAAGAAGAGGAACAAACAACAAATAAGGGAAATGGCATTAAAAGAGAGACAAAAGAAAACTAAGGTAGTTA